TAGTACGCACTTCTACCATTTCAACATTACATCTTAACATTACACCACTTCCTACATTGAAGTGTATACATTCCTTACCTTATATACATGTACCAAGAAACAACATCTCAATGAGATTTCGGGAATATAACAATATATTACATTAGGAGAAATGAATACGAGCTCATATATAAATATGTTAGACACTGCAATGATGCCAAGACACATTTGAAGAGGAGACAATTCCTTGATATATCATATGGGGGAAACGAAACAATGCAGTGAAACATCGACATAAAGAACACAGTTATCACAAACTCTCATTAGAGGATATATAGCAGTACTGTGTCTCCTTATAGTGACATTTTGCATTGTCTTTTGATCCAGAATGTGTGGAACTACACATAAATTCAAATTCAAAGTTTATTCAACACTCTTCATGAAAACATTTGAATCATACAAATACAGGATGGAATGATAACATAAAGAACAAGATAGTGATAGAAAATTACAATGGCAATTTATGAAAGCATTCGGGATAGGCAGAAAGGAGGGATTCTTTAGTGAAAGACTATCCCTAAACACACACATACAGGGAGAAGAAAATAAATATATTATCATGTAGAATCAGAGTAAAAAACAATAACAATAGAGTTTAACAAATTTACTTTACAAAAGTGTCAAAGTTGCTCATGCTATCACACCATCGTGAGCGGATATAGCAAAAATCACTGAAAAATTTGATTCATCGAGTCAATTAGGCAACATTAAAAATCACATTTGCAAATACTTTCAACAGCAACAAGACTCCAATTAATGTCCTATGATACTCGAACATTAAAGTTGCTTTTATTTACAGCTTCTATGAAAATAACACAAGTAATACCGGTATATAATAGAAAATCTGGTATTTCCCCCGAAGTGATACAGAACAGTGTGTTATCATACGTAGCTACATAGTCATACCTGACAACATTTGAAAATGAGAATTAAGAATTTTTAGCGCGGTATGTCTTTGAAAATAAGAAATCTGTACCCTTAACAGGCGTTCGCACATGCAGCGGCAGTGTAACTGGCAAGGCAATACGAGGTAAATCTGTGCAAAAAAAGCGAATACAAATTCGCTGCTCAATCATGCAGCCCTTCAACGCACGCAATACGTGAACTCTCACATCGCGGCATATGATAAAACAAGCTCAATTTGGTTTAAGCAACAAACAAAACAACCAAAAAATAGAAATTTTGAAGAAAAAAAAGGAATATTCCGGATTTTGGGGTTCTAAAAATCCAGAAAAATAGAATATTCCGGATTAATTATTCGGACGGGTTGGCAGGTATGCATAGTTGAAAGCAGATACAATTTGATCTGTATTGTGTAAACAAGGCCAAAATGGAAATCAACAGCAATGATATTCTGCCTATGCATAAGAGACCTCATTATAACAACGAAATCTTCTTCTTTTCTTTTGCATGAGTTTGGTCAAACCAAGACATATTTCTCCTACACAAAGAACTCGAACTTCATCAATTCATGTGGTTTCAAAAACCACTGACAAACAATGAATTTATTAACTTAAATTAAATTAAATTTTCTATCGAGCATTTTTTTACCCTGTATTTCAAATGTATTTATAACATTTCACAAATATTACAGACTGAATGTCCACACATTTGGTAGTCTAAACAGCTGGGTTTACAAATCGAATGCACAATGACAGAAGACAGTTTGCAAACAATGCAATATTATATTATCTTTGAATTTCATTCTTAAAAAGATTGGATGTCAAAATATTGATTCATTTATTTTAGTTTCTTTTGAATAAGTCAGTACAAAGCAAAATACTTACAACTGGAGCATATGGAAAACACAGACTGAAATCAACATCCCAAAGATATATGAAAGGTACTTTATAAGATGGGTAGAAGAATCCCTGCAATCTGATTGGTCAATTACCATGTAATTATTTTTACTGGATGCACGCGATATCGGCGATCGATACCACCGATATCCTTTTTTTTTTTTTAAATACTCTTTTTTTTAATTTTCTTTTTTCTTTTTTTTTCTTTTTTTTTTTATATAATTTTTCTTTTTTAATGATTTTTTTTGACAATTTTTTTTGGGGGTGATAATTATTTGTTTTTCGTGTTTTTTGATAATTATAATCTGAAAAGAAAAAAAAAATCTATAATTTTTTTTTTTTTTTTTTTTTTTTTTAAGTTTACAGTTTAATGTGCACTGACAATTTTTTTTTTTTTTTTTTTTTGAAATTTCATGATAAGTTAAAAATCATGCGTCCGGTAAAAAAAAATTACCGGACGCATGATTTTGCCATGCATTCGGTTAATCTGTAAAATAACAAAATTGTGTATTTTTGACAATTTTTGGGGCCCCATCTTATAAAACAGATGATGCACAGGTTTACTTCGTGGGTCAGTGGAATTGTGTGCACGCGGTACCTTTGAATTTGGTCTAAAACCCACTCGGCTGCGCTTCGTGGGTACAAATCATTCAAAGGTACCTTGTGCACACAATCCCTACCGACGCACTCAAACCTGTGCATCATTTGTATAATGTCCCATTTGCAGGCCCAAAAAATGAAAAAGTTAAATTCCAACTGCATTTGAAAGATAATACTAATTTAGAACTTCCCTAAAAACGGTGAGGCTTGAAAATGTCTTCAAGTGGGAAAATAACGACTATTAGTTGTCAAATCGACTTTAGGGCTATAGAGCCCAAAAGTAATAGTCTTGATTTTCAGACAATTGTACCGAATGGTCATACGTTTTATGCTGCGCAAAGATTCAATCAGTTTAAACTTGGCCATCACAAAAAGTGGGTTATTGATGTAGACAAATGCTCATGTACCCTTTACAACTCTTTTCATGTATGTTATTACCAAAGAAGAAAAAAGCCAGTCAGTCACTCAATAGTGTCTGACAGTGAAGTCTAGCAAGTAAACGGGTTTCCTTGCTTAATTTGAATATGAGGACACTGCTAACGTTTAAATTTCACAGATAAGACATACATGACATATTCATAATTCCTGCATAAGTTTTAGAGAATTTGAGGTTGGCTGCAAAAGGGACATAGTACCTTTAAGCAGAATAATCATACGCTTGCTCAAAGTCTCTCACTGAGCGATTTTCACTCTAGGAAAAACAAACAGATGATCATATACTGCTAAACAAGTCAAAGTACACTACAAACGAAACCTTTCCTATATCACTGGACAATAACTGTAATTGAAGTTGATGAAGGGAACATCTATGGCGATGATTTCACAAGAAAATCATGTTTGAACGTCATGTTTATGTATGTATATACACCAACTTCGAAATGAACATGGTCACATCACATTGTAAATAATAAAACAAGGGAAACGCTCTCGGCGGTCTCGCCTGCATTACGCAATTCGATATGATGACACATTGAGGTTGGGACATTCTTTGTAAGCAGAGAGGCCCATTAGCAGGCCCCGCCCCCCCCCCCCCGCCCCCTCAATGAAATACTCTTAATATAATCAACATTTGGAAGTGAATATTGACTAAGAATCATCAGAATAATTATTTACAATAATTTGTACCAAGATTGATAACTAAGATTGAAATATAAACAATAATTGATTTATTAATTCTATTGACCTAAACTGACCTTTGACGTTAAATTTTTGACCTGGAATATGTGTCATATAATTTGTGATACTTGATTACCCTTAAGTACAAGTTTCATGGAATTTGAACAAACACTTTTGAAATTATGTTTAAAAATAAAAATGTTGATGCTGATGCCACAACAAAGTCTATGTTTGCAGACCTAATATGACAATAGACCTTGACTTTGTCACCTTAAAGACTAATCACATGATTGGTGATACTTGATTACCCATATCCCCAAGTTTCATGGAAGAGGAATGTATATTTTCAAAATTATGTTAAAAATGTAAAAACTTAACTTCTGGTTAAGTTTTTGATGTTGATGCCACAACATAGTCTAAGTTTGTTGACGTGAAATGAGCTTTGATCTTGACTTATGGACCTAAAATTCTACTAAAACATGATTTGAATACTTGATAACCCTTTCCAAGTTTCATTGATTATATTGAAAATTCAAACACTTAACCTAGGTTAAGTTTTTGATTTTGACGCCGCCGCCGACGCCGTCACCGGAGAATCGACGCCTATATCTCGCTTTTGCTATGCAGGCGAGACAAAAATGATGATATTATGATACTAACTTTAGCAGTTTAAACATCAGATACATGTAAGTTTGATACATTATTCCAACACGAATGGATGCAGGAAAATAGTATTATTTGCGACGGACATGTGTGACCTTGTAGAACATATTAAAGCACTTCCTGTCATATAATCTATTCGCACAGATAACATTTGGCCACTCTTGAAACACAACTAAATGACACTAAAATAGTACATATATCAATATGCAGCGGTTTAAAATGAACAACAGACTTTGAAATAAACATGTCATGGATTTATGTCTTACAGCTACAAATATTTCAGAGAATAATTTCAAGTGTAAGTTAGTGTTGAGATTTCCTTCTCATGTACTTTAAAAGCATTTAGGAATCCATCACAAAACTTTACGATTATCCCTGTTAGAATTCAAGCACATTCACCTTTCTTAAGAAACATCTATCTATCTTCTTCCGGTTCGGAGGTTGATTGCAACATCTCTCCATTTCACTCTATCTTCTGCTATTCTGGTGCACTCTTGCAGTTTTAGTCCACTCCAGTTCTTGACATTCTCTTCCCAGTTGATTATTGGTTTCCCTCTCGGTCAAGTAGATGTAATTACTGACTTGCTCAATGATATGTCCATTCAGTTTCAAACCGATTCTAGACTTATTCTCTGTTCTACTAAAAATCATAGACTTAGTTTTCTTGACATTAATGCATATACCAAACTCTTCCCTTTTGACTTTTACAATATCCAATACATGTTGTAAATCTGCTGCATTCTCTGCGCAAAGTGCAGTGTCATCAGCATAACATAAATAATTTATATTTAAACCCCCGATACTAACACCTTTCATATCTGAACTTTCCCTAATAACATACTTGGATAGAAATGGAGCAATCTGAACAAACGTCCCATAGAACTTTAGATGTCGTAGCTTACAGGGCCCTCATCAACATCATCAAGTTCATTGACATAGAAAGGGTAGTTTGTAGAACTTTCTTTTGCAATGAAGAGGGTCTCTCTGTTGTCCTTGTACTCTACATCATACGCAAGAGGGCCAGCAAATGAGAACCCTAGGTAGAACTGAACAGGTTCCTGGCTAGGTAGACCCTTGATGGGAAGAGACAGAGTGATCTTCACTGGTTCTTCTCCATCAGGGTTGAACAGGACACGGTCATTGCTTTCTAGGACACCATCCAGTCGCCTGAGTCTATTCTTGATGGTCTCTTTTTTCCATATGTCATATGTGATATGTCCCAAGGACTTCCGGTGGACAAATTGGGATTTATCATTCTGAAGTCCAAGATAGAACTCTGTGGCAGGCTTCAGGGGGCTGCAATTTTGGCGAATTCTGGATCGTCTGGGCAAGTTGTGTTGAGGCTCTGCAGACTTCTTATTGCGGTATCTACCAGTCCACCTATCACGCAGTTGCCTAATTGTCTCTCCGACTGGTATGCTTCCTTCTTTGGGTGTGCCATCGGGCCAATTTAACAGCATCTCAAAGAACAAGCCATAGAATCCATCGTCTTTTCTCTCCATCGTCTTCAGGATGTTCACTGACTTTCTAGCCTCCTCCTCATCTAATCCTACATTGGGACAGACTGCCAGGGCAAAGAGGGTAAACACAAAGTTCCTGATGTCAAAAAGACTTGGACTACTAAGGTTTTGCCTGAGCAAATATTGAACCTGTTTGAGATCAGGAATTTTCTTCTTTGAAGCCATGTCAAAGATCTGTTGGTATCCACCCGCTTTCATCCTTTTCACTTCAGATCGTCTCATCGCATAGGCAGTTTCCATTGAGTACTGTACATTTTCAAGCTGTGGAGATGACAGAGCGAAGAAGCGGTTTCTGGTAGAGTAGATTGTCTCCAATTTTTTATCTTGGATTTTGTACGAGGCTTCACCAAAGTTTTGCTGTGTACAGTGAGCAAGATAGTCAGTGAAACACCCAAGTACTTCGTCGACCCTTTCTGACAATGATTTCATGGTATCACTGAATTCACGGAGTGAAGGTAGGATGAGATCAGGAGGAATATATTCTGTCATTAGATACCTCCCCAAAGTCCCCAATCCTTTACTCCCGTAACGGAAAGGTTTCACCCTCTTCTGAACTATGTCCAGGAACTTAGCAATGGAGGAGATTTCACCCACAAAGCCAGCATAATTCTTTCTTCCTTTATCTTCTTTCATAGCCCTCTGAGCTTTTTGAAATGCTGCGCAAGATTCATTGAAAGTACTCAACAGCTCCTTCATTTCACTGTCACTGATAAGTTCTTGGCCTTCCCTGCTCTCATACAGTGTCATCTTCTCTCGAAGGATGATTCCTTTCGTGTCCCACAAGTATGAGTTATTGCTAACAATGTCAAGTGCTATATTGATGGCTTGTTCTGCATTATCAAAATCACCTTCTCGCATGCTGTGAAGCCGAGCCTTCTGTTGTGCTATGAATGGGTCTTGGAATTTCCTGATGCCAACTTCCATGATCTTGTATGCCTTCGCCTTATCCTCTGCATATACTTCTTCAATGAAAGGAGCAAAGTCAGTTTCTCTATCATCTCCGTACTCTTTCTTCAGTCTCCTTTTCATCAAATCTCTGCAAACCTTCTGAATGTAGCCTTTGCTGTGAGACAAGGTGTCCAGGATTGTTGAATTTTCAAGAAGTTCAAGGATCATGTCAGCAGGTTTTTGTTGGAAGCGTTCACCAAGCTGCTTTACAATCTCTGCTGCAATAACAGGATGGACGACTGTAAGGCCTTTTACACAGCCATCAATATCTTGAATGAATTCTTCAAGGAGAAGCAGGTTCAGAAATGGCTGCCTTTCTTTCTCCCAGGGTCCAAACCGCTGTTGCCGACCACTGGACATCACTCTATGTTGACTTTGCATAAAACCGTCACAGGCAGAAACAGGCATTGCAAAACTAGGATTGTACATCTGCACTACAGCGATATACTTCAATAGATTGACTGCATTCAGGAGTTCCTTCTTGGATTTGTTGTCAACTCGTGGAAGAATGCCCTTCACAACATTTTTCAGGTATTCAGGATCGCACTCTTTTTTCATTACCATGAAAGCAAGAAGGCGCTCAGGAGACTTCTTTTCATTGAACACATTCCTCTGCTCAAGATCTGTGGTCTTCTTTGTGAACCACCGATTCTCTTCTTTTGTTAGTTTATGCTCAACACAAGCGCATGTCTTTGATTTTTCCTTCTGCTGATGATGTTGCGGCTCTGAGGTTCTTTTGCAATGGATGAGAACAAAAGCCAATCCATCGCTTTCTAAGTACCTGGTTTCTCTTTCAAGGCTTATTAGAAACGGTCGCATGGTCTCAGAATCCAGGTTTTCCAAGAGGAGGACAACTGGCCCTGGATTTTGTCCTTCCTCATAGCCATACTTGTGGAAGGCAACAATCTGATTCACTGTGTCGTTAGTGACCCTATTGACAACTCCACATCTGTATTGTCGGTGCAAGTCCCACAAGAGGTTCTTTGCTACCGTTGTGCCTCCTGAGCCTGCTTCATGAAAGACTGTTGCCATTGAAATGTGGGAGACCTTCTTGCCTTGAGAATTGAGTACTTTACGAACATCAGAATGGAGCCTGTTGTAAATCTGACGCTTCAGAACATGATTGTAGTCTTTACCTCCATTCAACCTCTCTTCCGACAGATAGAAATTCCACCAGTCAACTCCATGACCTTGATAGAATCGAGACTCTTTCTCTTGAACAAAGTCTACGAATTTGGGGTTATTCTCATCCATAGAAGTGTTTTCACACTCATTCTTTGCTAGGACTGATATGTCTGTCCACTGACTCTGGTGTTTTTTCCTTAGTTCGCACTGTCCTCTAGGAAACATGGGAAGTTCTGGCAAACGTGTCTCACAGGACCCTAGAAGTCTCAACATGTATGTGTTGATCTCCTGCCATGGCACCCCTCCAAGACATCTATCATTCATATCCTTGCTTGAAACGATGCTTTGACTTTCAAGATGCTGAATCCATTTGTGCAGAACACTTTGATTCTCTGCGATGACAGTGAAACGTTTCAGGTCCTGAAACGATTTGTAAGTGTAGAACTCCCTGAACAACTGTGTCATGACCATGATATCTGAATATGAAAGCAGGAAGAACACAACAACTGCTCTGCCTGGCGGAATGACACCAGGGTCTGAGAAGAACCGGACAGTATTCAAGACTGCATGTGAGCGCTCTCTCATCCAGTCCATATCTAACATCTTGTCCATTCCTTGCACATTCACATCATTCCGACCATTAGGAAATACCCAAACAGGGATCTCTGGGAAGTCAATATCTTCTCTAAGGGCATCTACATTCTTGGTCTCTGTGAAGTTATCTGTGCTCAAGATCTTAAGAGATTTCTTCTGATTCACATACTGACAGAGCCCCGTCTTGTTGGAATCTGCATTGCAGTCAAAGACAACATTCCAACTGACAGAGGACATGAAACCAAACCGTTCCTCCAACTCTGCAGAACTCATCTGTTGAGCGGGGGTGTTTACAACCAGAACTGGGTAGTAGGATGAATCAAGCTCACCTTTGTCAGACCCAAGAAGAAGATTAGTAAGCTTTCTTTCACTGTCTTTCACTGGCAATGGTAAATCCACAGATGGATTTGGTGTGGCAGAAGCATAGGACGAGCCGTATGCTGTCTCCATGTCTACAATAGATTCAACAGTGTCCTGTTCCATCTTAAGCGATGCAACAGTAACTTCCCTTACAGAAGGAGCTGCTGTAGTTTGTTTCTTACCTGGAACTTCCACACCTTTGGAGTCTACATGGATGTTACCCATAGGTGAAGAAGATGAGGTTTTGTGCATTCTTTCTCCCTGTGATACTAGTATTGCTGGTGGTGGGGTAGGTTCTACTGCGACTGGACTGGGTGTTGTCACACTATCCATTGCACTTACCTTGGAGTTTCCATCTCTACTGTGAGATGATGGAGATTCCGGAGTGGTCAGCATGCCCATTCCTTCTTTTTCAAGGTAATGCTCCCTCCTTACCATCAATTTTTTGCAATATCCTGCAGAGAGTTTGAAATCTTCTATCAGTTCAGCTTTGGTACACCTCACCAACGTGAAACCATCCACCCCTTCAAACTTACTGACATCGGAGAGACCTACGTAACTTTTCAGCCAGATGGCCACCTCTACTTCTGTCCAGTCCTTCATCTCTTTTGATGCCTCACCTAAATTACGTAAGAACAAAAGTATCCAAATCAGGAAGTCACAAATATTATCATATATGTAAAGACAAAATAAATGTTAACTTCCAAAAGACATTAAAGATATACTACAATGTTCCTTTGGTGATAATACAATACTAATAATTTTGTTTACCCAGGAAAGCCTCAACAGCTTAAATATTGTTCTCCCCGATGGCCCTGAAATCATTATCACCCAAGCAATTGCTAGTTACCCATGTACACCAGGGTGGAGGGTGGCAAATGTGGATTAATGTTTTTCCAAAGGATGTTGGTGCCGAGCTGGGATTCGAACTCTTTCACCATAGGATGGAGAGTCACGTGAATGAACCACTATACCACGACTCCTCACCACTCTTTTAACATTCATTACAGTACAATATGATTGAATAATATTTATCTCTATTCTCGTTCTACCACAATAACAAAATACATGTACCACACAATATGAACTATGGGCATTTGGTAACAAGTGCCTTAAAGAGAAATCCAACCTTGATAGCAAACTACTCTAGAGAAGAAGGCAGAGAAATCAGAGAAGCATCCTAGTCAAATTTCGAATGAAATGGGACAAAATATGAGAAAGTTATGATTTAAAAAAAAAAATAATAATAATAATAATAATTTATTATAATAATAATAATAATAATAATAATAATAATAATAATAATAATAATAATAATAATAATATTTTAAAGTCCACTCCAAATTGTATTGGGCTCTTCAAATTGGCTAAATCGATAATGTCTCTGATGTAGTGGCGAACAACTTTCCCATTTGTTCCATAGACAAATGACAATAATTTTAATTTTTCACAAATGTATGTCTCAAGAGGATCCTTTTTTTAATATATTATGGATGACATATTATAATATGTCATCCATAATATATTTGAGTAGCACCCCAAGAGAGAAGGCACTTTGGAGAAAAACAATTATTCATATTTATGAACATAACAAAACAGGAGAGTTTCCATGTTTTAATCACAGTTCACAGACAAAATTAACCATTTTATTTTCGCACTTATTCAGGGAGCTCATATTTCAAACATTTAAAATTCTCTTAATACTTTTGATCCAATTTATTTCCAAATTTTTACCAATCTGGTCTGCTTTCATACAAATGAAGTTCTTACAACGATTGGATTGCCCTTATCTTCAGGCAAATTTCAGCTAGGTTTCCACAGACACACAGACTAAACACAGATGGTTCTGATAAAGGCTTGAAATAATCTTTCTGCCTTTTAATAACAAATAACATATTTTCCTCAATTCAAATTCAATGTAAAAGATGTAGGGATATGTACACATCTTTGAGATGTAGAATTACAAGTAGCTCAATGCAAACATAATTGTTCTTACCTGTATATGCTTTCTCTGTACTTGTTGACAGACTTGAGCTTGGAATGATTGGATCAATGACTGCGTGTGAAAGTAGATCCCAAGCACCACTTCCTTCCAGCGCTACATCTAGAACGATGTCATTTCCAACTTCCTGCTTGGTTTTTTCAGAGATGAGCACCATTCCAAGCTGATGTCCGATGCGGCCGCTTTGGACATCACTTTGAAGCAAACGTAGCCCTTCGATGGTGTACACTTTCACATGAAAATGAATAGAATCTACAGTCAATCCAGTGGGCTTGTAGAATCCATCCCTCCCTATGCTCCTTTCCAAGTGCCTCACCACGTCTAAAAGAGGCTTACACAATTCGGTGAATGACTTAAGCCCCTCTAGAAAATCTCCTCCTACTCCTGTGGATGGGACCAAACTGACATCTGAGGAGCTGGCATCTAGGAGAGCTTGTAGTTTACCTTGTGCTTCTTCCCTCACCAACTGGTTGGAATGGGTGACATTGAGCTGAACTTCTGTGGAAACAAAGACACAACATGAACCATTCGTGAACAAGAACAAGTTATCAAGGTAAGCTTAGCTATATAGAGGACATTGCTTTTGACGCATACAAAGATTCATCACCAATACATAACTTGTACAAATTCATTGCTCTGTTCTTTTCCACAAAAGAGGAAAAAAGAAATATATGGCCCCAAAACAGAGACCAACATAAAAACTAGAACATTGATGGGTGTCATTAATATTAACATAGCAGACTATATAATGTATATCTTATTGGACATTCAGCAGAAACAATGGCAGTTCTGCTAGGTGAATTAAACATCTAAGAAGCACATCCTAATTTGGAATCCTCCTTGAAGTGATGGTGAATATAGAATGTCTTACCTGCAACACCTTTCATAGGCTGATAATAATAGATTATCAATGTCTTCCCATTATTGGTGACGGTGACCAGACATTTGCTTCCACAACAATTGCTCCGGGCTTTATACCATCACAGGTATAGCATTAGGGTTAGGGTTGCAAGTGGGTGTTAAGTTAGTTTTGGGGTTCTAGGGTTAGGGACAGGTATATCATGTTGGGTCCAGGGATAAAGTTAAGAAGTTGGTCAGTGACGTTGAGCAAATAATGCTGCAGGAGCAAATGTTGTACACCGAAGCAAAAGTGAATAGAGAATGTCTTACCTGCTACTCCCTCCTTAGGCTGGTCTTCACTGATGAGCAATTTCTTTCTCTCATTGGTGACACCCAAGTGATTCTGGCCTATAGAATAAACAAAAAACATCTTTGCATTAGTTACAGGTATAGTAGATGCCAATAACTTTCCACCTCCTGTATTATCTATTTGCTATTTTGCTCATTTTAATACTACAATTACTCTGTCCACTATAATGATGAAAGAAATATATTCGCTCTTTTTCAGTCTCGTTTGGTCAAAAGAAATGTAACCATACTACTTAAAGTGAATGTAGATTCTCTGAGATATTTCGATCAAGTCTAAAATGGATATGAAAAACATGAATTACAACTGTATTCTTGACGTTGCACTTCTGAAAAATAAAGAAATGAAACATTGGAACAACCTGAATCTTCTGAAAACTTACGGATCTTGTATGCTTTTCTTCTCTCGTGGCAGGCCTCCAAATCCTGGCGAGAGTTTCGACCTGGTCAATCTGAGCTGTTTGTTCCTTCTTCCACTGCACCATGACTTTGAAGCGAACATCTACAGAACGCCTGTTGCTGTCCTCTCGAATACTGCAGATCATTGCATAGGTCAGACCTAATCGAAGACTCAATGGGATCAGCTTATCTACATGGAGTTTCTCTGCTATTTCCAACAACTGAAAATCCTTGAAGGATCTTCCAGACAAGCTTGTGCATGTGTGCTGCTTCTCAAAAACTGAAAGAAACCAAAACACAATGGATTATGTTTCACTTTTAATCTAAATACCAATGAAAGCAGGGAGCTTTTCTTTCAGAGTTCATAGATGTTGATATTTAACATGACATTTATATTTAAAAATGTCATTGCCATTTTCATTTTCTCTGTTTAGCAAAATTTGGTCCATCATCACATCTTTACATTATTTCAGAAATGCTTTTTAAATATCTAGTTACCCTTAGACTTACAGAATTTGAGGACTTGTTTGTAGTCTAGGTCCTTGTCAGTCATCAGGCTCACCAAAAGAAACTTGTTACCCTATTCTCATATTCTAACAGCAAAGTTGGTCCTACATACCTTCTTTCCATTCTAGGAACCCCAATTCACTGTTTAGCGAATTTAGTCCTACATCCATTCTTTACAGTATCCTAGCACTACCCTTAGACTTACACAAGTTGAAGACTTCTTTCTGGTCTAGGCCCTCGTCTGTTGTCAGAACCTGGAAGAGGAACTTAGACGGGTCCCCTACTTGGTCATTGTACCACTGGTAGAGCATGTTAAAGGTTGTCTCTTTCCATTGGAACATGGTGCTTCTTTCAGCAAGCAGCATCTCTAGCTTTATCTGAGGTAGACCAAGCTTCAGTCCCAATGACATGAATCTGTCCGGTAAAATGACCTCACTGACCTTCCACAGGATGAGTTCGGTGAGCTCTGAATTAAGGATGTTTAAAAACATAATAATGATTAATCTTAACGCGAAAACGAAAGGAAAGTAGCTCAAAAGGAAATGTATGTATAGAGGAGGCACTCAACTACAGCTCAACATCATCTTTATCAGGAAGTGAATGCATAGATCATCCCACATGAACAATAAGTATCAATTACAGACCTACGCCACTGTTCAACCATATCATTATGACGATGTTATTATTGAAAACAAGGAGCTTAATAGCTGAATTGCTGAAAAACTAGTCTAAAATATGACAAGCTCGAGCTTGTTTCGATGGATGGAGGAGCAATTACTTTTATAACACTTCGGTTACTTTCTTCGCATCTCTAAATGTGCGCTAATTTGCATAAAACATTAGACACCAAACAACAGACACCAAACAACAAAAAACACTCAGTCTTGATAAGCTCCATGATTGCTTCTTAAACACTAGTATAGATTAATCTTGCACTGGAAACAGTTGAATAATCTTGAAGTCTTAACATATACTGTATTTATCCAATGATAAATATAATGCTGCACAGGGAGATAATGTGTGGTATATAAAGCGATAACTTAATCAAGGACATACCTGGCAGATTCTCAAGCCAGCTCTCTTGTACTTCCACATCACCTGAAGGTTGGTCAACCAGTCGGCTGCCGTTTGGGAGTGGAGCCTTACTGTCTTGTTGAACGTCCTCCTCTTCAAGTCGCACTGCACTTATTGCTTTGAAGAAAGATTCAAAATAAAGATAAAAATATTTACTCGATCGTCATGGCGATTAGCATCTCGCGGACAACTACCAGAAGTTTCACTAACTGTATGATTATTATTTTTTGCTCTTTTGAACCCCCGTAAGTGATGTTTTCCTGGCATCTACTAACAATGTCTTTGTGCTAGTGCACATCACATTTTCACTTGGCAGCCCAAAGGGGGGGGGGGTGGGAGTAAACCCCCCCGTAGATCCGCCCCTGAACATCTTTGACAAATGATGTTAACTGAAAAATTTCCAATAAAATGTAAAAAGGAAGTTTTCTACTAATCATATCAATTCACTTTATCCCACTTTCACATTACAATTACTCTACAAGTTAGAGTAAATGAAAATTATTTAAAGAAAAGAGTATCCACATTCTGACATATGGGTCACTCGACTGTATGTTTGCCTGAAAATTAAATGTCTGCTCAATTGAAACTAACCTTCGGCTCCAACGCTTATGGACTGTGCTTTCTCTCTGTCCCCTGCTGTCTCTTGGGGGTCGATACTGAATCCTTTCGTATTCTCATCTTTGGTGTTTCTTGGGCTGTGCTTTGCTGACGACTGTTGCCCATTCTTTTTCTTTTTTGGTCCCCTCTTCTTGGGCATGGTGACCACAGGGAATTAGATCACTTCGGCTCTTCAGGAATATACGCTTAACCTTTGGTTCCTGAATTCCTAGACTTCTGGTTATTTAGAAATCCATTGATGAAGCACTTGAAAAAGAGGCTGCCTTGATGGCTCAAGTGGCAATTAATAGAGCTCTGCAAGGTAATAGATAAAAAGAGAAAGTTACATAAAGGTCAATTGTGTTAATCCCTAAAGTAACCGTTTAAACACTGAACTGCCCATGACAGCCCTGATTCTATTATTTACTGAACCCAAGACCTCCTGTAAAAGTTTGTGCAGTGTGACAGAGATAAAATTGCTATGAAATGTCTAGGAATACAACCAATTTAGACTGAAAACAATGTGTTCATGTGGAAATATTTTGCGTTTAAAAAAAAAAGTTGATACCATTAGACGATTTACTGAGCAGCGAGAGGGATACAATGGCCACGCTCATGACACTTTCCCAGCATCGATGCATGATAATTGCTATATAATGAAGGTTTAATATTTAACAAAGATAATGATGAGAATGAATCTGGTGATTCTCAAGTAGAATTGTATTAAATAAATCGCAAGTTGCTCGAGAGATTCAGGCCCGTAACTACGGTGGATGCGCGGGGTGCAACCCTCGATTGCCCCCCCCCCAGAACCTACCCCCGTTCGGTTGGGTCTGTTGACCCTCGAAAGGGTCTACCTAATATAATGTCTGCACCCCCCCCCCCCCCACGGGCCTACGACGAAGGTCATGAATACTATTTCTATTCAAAGCAAGACGACTAGATATTAACGATTTTAATTTTACTCATTTTGACTCTCGGGAGAAGGCCGTTGTTCGGAATACCTGACCACTAACTTGATGTATTCATACCCGTTGCACCATATTGTGATTTCTCTCACACTCTCCTAGTAATGAATAGTTAAACCAAAACTCGAAACCATAAATAATGAATGCACTAAGTACATATAAAACATATCAATTAAAGCTTGCCACAAAGATTACCACAAACCAAAATGAAAGCAGAGAAACAATGACTTTAGTATTGATCTTATTCGGCAAACAATCCTGCAACTACTAATAAGGGGAGATTCATTTGTCGGTATAGCCCCAGTCAAGTAGCCAATCAAATAAGCTTACAATCATATACAAGAAGACATTCCCAAGCATGCTGGGTAGAGCACAGACCAAGGAATCATAAACCTATATTAATAACTCCTTGTTTAGACCATTGGTTTTACTCGCTATTAAAATCCATTTCAGACATTAGGAATGTGCTAGCTATTGCCCGGCAGCCCAATGCACTTTGATCAAACTAACGAGGTACCAATGTTTGAATATTGGAAAATTTGAGGAAAACCCTAGTATAACCAAATGTGGACGTCTGCCGGGGTCCCTCTGCTGCATTTTTCCCCTAGAACCGGTTAAGAGGGGCCCAAACATGCATTTGGTCATACGAACGAGGTACCATATAGAACCAGTGTTAACTAAATGCATGAATGCCACAACGCTAGGAATGGCCCATGCCAGACAAAATTTCTGCTGCTAAGGGGCCCGGCCGCCAGACACCGAAAAAAGAGGCCACTAAAAATGCATTTGATCAAACGTACGAGGTACCACGTGAAACCAGCGTTAACAAAATGCATAAATTCCACAGAACACTAAATGGCCCATGTCAGACTAATCTTCTATTGCTAAGGGCCCACCAGACGCCCCTAAATGTTGCCCAAAAGCCAATAATTGTATGCATTGCCCCATATTTAATATACAAAGTACCACTCAATATTTTGGATTGGTCGGGTTCATCTTACAGACTACGGAAGTCTACGGAATGACAGACACATTTTCTGCTGCAAAGCGGGCCACAGACACACTAATAAAGTGTGCCCCAAATAGGTCATGGTCAGATTAATGACGTACCACTTGAAATTAATTGTAATTAAATAGTTGAATGCCACAAAGCACTTATGGACCAAGCCAGACAAATTTTCTATTTTTATGGGCTGCCCGATGCCCCCAAAATGTGGCCCAAAGGTCCCTTATTGTATCATTGACCAAAGCTTAATATGAAGACCTACTTTAGGTACGACTCGAAAATAATTTGGAATTGTCCGGTTAATTTAAGACTAAGGAAATCATCATGACAAAAGTTCTGCTGCAAAGGGACCGACAGGCACCCTAAAAAGGAAGGCCCCACACGGCAGTGGCGGATCCGGGGGGGGGGGGAGGAAATAAATTTTACCTTTTTTGGGAGATGAACCCCGCCCCCTGGTGCTGAAGGGGTGGGTTGTGCTTTTGCAAATTTTCGAGAGCCAAAAAAAGTAGTGCTTACTACCCCCTAGATATGATGACTATCAGAATTCTACTCAAGTCATGTGACCTTTTTTACACTCCAATTAACGGCTAACAGTAACATAGCATGTGCCTATTTGTTTCTCAGAAACCCCACAAGTTTCAGAGGATCTATTGTATTCCATCCTTCTTTCACAGGATTATCTCTCTGTATCTCCATGTCAGTCCTTCCCTTCTTTTCCCTCTTCTCTGCACTCAAACAAAAAGTGGAATTATCAAGTATAGTGTTGTGTAATGCAATGTAAAATGTGTTTAAAGGTTGTAGATATTGAATACTTCTTTAATTCAGTGTCAACCTCAAATAAGGGCCAATATTCTCTTTTGGCTGCTGCCTACTTCATAATACATGTACTTATCTGTTTTAAATATAGCATTCTAGTAGCAGTCAACTATGTCGACGTGCAAATATAAACGTCCCTATTATACCCCTCGACTACATCACCTATCTGAACATGACATCCAATTCAAGATAAAGGAATGATGACTCAATAATATATGTAACTATATGGAATCTATGTAGAATATTGAATGAAATGGCACGGAAGAATGCCTTTTAAAAGAAAAAAAGATGTTAGAAAAAATACCATACTATGCATACAACGTGATGACACTTCATTCAAACCGAAGTATAAGCAAACAGAAGTGCATTGAGTTTTTTTTTAAACTGGACCATGAACAGGACAAACTAGATACCAAATATAATAAACAGTTTCGTTTCTAAGAACAAAATTCGCGATGTCATTGAAAACTATATTTTGCACTGTATATCCAAATACAACAGAATAGAGGACAAATGATGAACTGAAAGACTGAACTGAAATCTTGTTGGTGCAAAATGTCTGCAAGCAATCAATAAAATATTTCATTGTTAAGGTGGAGATTTCATTGTAATATTTGAGACCATTGTGACTAACAATCGTTATTCTTGTCACCTCACACTCCGCACCTGGCAATTAGCACTGTTATTTGTATATTTGTTGGAGATGGTGTAATGTCTATATAGCAATATATCACATTGAATCTGTCTCCAATTGCATACAGATACCGTGCGTCCCAAAAGAAAAACTATACACTTTTGAAATGGCTGCCGAATAAAGAATATATGATTCTTGGGGAAAAGTTTTATAGCATGGAAAGCTCATAAACCCAACTTTCATATGACGCCAAAAAGTCCGAAAATAATTCATGCGTGGGTGAGCACTGCTCGCTCTTGTAAAGGGTATGAAAATTAGGTTGCGCAGGAATTAGCCTTCCAATTTGTGAGAGGTAAATCCTTTGGAGCTTACACAATTGAGGGTGATATGATACATTCATGATTTGCTGAGTGAATTTCATGGTTTATTAAACCAAACTGCTATGCATGAGTGAACAGGCATTTTTTTTTTATTGTAGCATTGTAACTTTCCCTGGTAGACTCAGTGGTGTGTTCATGGGAGTCAGGATGGGGTGATGGTACATGTTGTAATTTCCATGTTACACACTGTTATTTAAAAAGAAAAACTATATATATATATGAATAATTCCATTAATTGTTGGGAGGTTTTAGGGTTCATGAAAGCACTGAAAAATAGTACTTGCATCGTTAAAATGAAATCTAATATGAGCCATTTAGGAGAGTGAGAAAAAAATATCACAAGAGCCACCGGGCGGGGAGCCCCACCCCAAATAAAATAATTATATTATAGGATTTCAAATTAAAGAATTTTCGCCTTTGCATTTAGGGGGAAACTTACCACGTAATAAAATATACATCAATAAAGGCGTCTTTTAAAATTAAAGAGTAAATGCATCAACATGTGAGGATAGAAAGTCCATTCTGTCACGCTGCATAATTACCCATACTAATAAATGGAATATTAAATGAAGCAGATAAGACAAGTTGACTATACAAACTAAATTTAAACAAATTATATGGTCCTTTGGAAAATAATATATAGTTAGAAGAGTAAATCAATCATAAAGGGCATTGGAAAGAAGAGCCCATTCCCCCTTCTCATAAATGCCCCCTTGTCACTCTCATAAATGCCTCTTTTCATCTCTGATGAGTGCCCCTTTTATTTTGACAAGTGCGCCAATTCCTTTCTAATAATTTGCTTTTTCCTTCTTATAAGTGCCCCTTCCCCTTCTCACATCTTGCATGATGTATAAAGAGAAACAAATATTGAAATCATCCCTGATAATGACTTGTAATCACAATGTAGGGGTATATACCCATATCTAAAAATGGTATATTTTTGCTTTGAGATTTCCCTTTGTAGGTGCCATTTTACCTTCCAGAAAGTTTCCTTTGTTGTTGCCCCCCCCCCCCCTTTTTTTTTTTAAGTGTCTCTGCCGCCCTTGACTAAAATTGTCATGCAAACTAACAAAAGGATTTTTTTGTTTTGATACTTCATATATTAATGCAAAGTCGTCTATATTAATTGACGGTTTCCTTCAGTGAGTGGCTATGAATAGTGCACGAAACACGGCCGTAGGTGCTAACGAGTTTGATGGTGAATCATACACAATTGAAATATGAAAGTCAAGGAGCTAGCCATGGCCCATACAATTTTTAAAGATACTTTTCACATTCAGAATATTCCTCTCTCTCTCTCTCTGTCTCTCTCTCCATCTCTCTCTTCAGACTGTGCCGATCATGCAGTTCTACAACTCGGACATTCTCACTTTACTGTCCAAAATTTTCCAAATTGTCTCTAACCTATAAGAAAATAACCGATTAACATGTAGTGGTGCAGATCTAGAAGTCAATATAGGCCTACTTGTACATTCTTTAAAAGCAATCAAGACAGCAAGACAGTCAAGTCA